AGGCATTACAGGCAATTACTATTGTTTGCCTTTTATTCCTTTTTCCTTTACACCTACGAAGTGTCACTTATAAAAACATTAGTAATAAGGAATGAGATAAACATATCTTTAACTAAAGAATTCCTAACTTCTAATATATATTCAAACAGCAATTAAGGTTATATAAACATAACAGTTTCATACCCCAAACCACAAAATCACATATAATATCACATATTCTCTTATAATACCACATATTCACATATGATATCACATATTCACATAAATATGCATGCACGATCATCTACCATCTTATAATCTTCTTATTTCTTCTGACTAAGTCCATAGGCTACTGAGTAATAGGACTAAATCTAGATATCCTAACTTGCTCACGCTCTCCAATATTTGAGAGGTAACTTGACCAAAGGTCACCACTCCCTAAACTTAAACCATAGACTCCCTTACCCACAAGGTATTATATAATTGCATGTACACATACCTACTCTTAAAGTAAATATCATTGGCTAAGCCAAAATCACACCTAATCCCCATCGAATTGGTGTTACAGCTAAACAACTCTGAGTGTTGATATTGTATGCCACGTGGACTTAAATATATTCTCTTAGATTACCAGGTGAACTCCCACCCATCTATATCACACATGTGCATCACATTTATCATCATGCCAATCTTTTATTCTTAACATTTTTATCACACATGCAAATAAGATGTTCCTCAATAATTCATTATTTTATAATAACAATAATTCATGGTTTCACAATAATTTATTATTCCACTCTAATTCATAATACATCACATTCAATACTTTAGTTCATTGCTCAAGCTTGCAATACATAAATCACATACACAAACATCTTTAACACATTATCACACACACTCTCACACATATTGTTCATGCTTACACATTTTTCCTTAAGAACATAATTTATATAAATATATGTTAAATGCTAGAATTAATATATGAGGAAATTTAGGTTTTCAATGAACTCTACCCCTTAAGTCAATTAAAAGAGCACTCAAAGCATGTTTCCAAAAAGTCTCCAATCATATACACCAGCCATAAAACATTAATCTATAGTTAACATCATAGACTTTATCATTACCACGCATGGATATATACCCAAAGCCACCTATGACCTAACATAATATTATAAACTCATTTTATTAATTATTTTAGAGTTTTTATTAACTTTATTAAATTCATGAGACCCCAGACTCCAACTAAATTCACTCTAAATTTCTGTAGTCCGTTATTTAACTGCAACGATGAAGTTAATAAATTTCATATAATGAAATGAATCAAAGATCAAATCGTTGAAAATTACTGATTTGGATTTCATGAACCTGTTGACCAAATTTTAGCTAGATCTAATAGCAAACAAATTCGTAAAATTACCATGACTACTATGTGATGGTGTGAAAACGACTGTTATGAATGACAAAGTTAATAAATCTCTAATAAAACAACTAATCAATGATCTAACATTGAAAAGGACAAATTATATGTTACAAATCTGGCAACCAAATTAAAACCTAATCTAATGTTGAACAAATTCAAAAATATTGATTTATCAAAACTGTTGTGTAAAGATGTGAAAATAGCTGTTATGAATAAAAAGTTAATAATTCTCTAATTAGGTAACTAATTAATAATCCAATCGCTAAAAAGAATGAATTAGATGTCACGAATCTTACGAACAAATTTAAGGGCAATCCAATGGTGAACAAATTAATAAGATTGGTTTATCAAGGCCACTTTATGTAGATACAAAAACAATTTTCTATTTGCTTCTCTCTTGAATGGCTATAGCTTAATCTTAAATATAATCTTTATCTCATGACCTAATCTGATCCTCTCTTCTCTACTTTGTGAAACTTACAATGGGCTTTAATATTGCACTTTTCTGCACATAAGAAGGAAGCCTAAACTCATTAATCTCAATTTTCCTCAAAACACAATTTAATTCTTAATTAAGCATTATAATTCCCTTAAATTAAACTCCTAAATAAAAATAGGATGTTACAAAAGAGCAATGAAGAAGATGAGAGAGAGAGAGAGAGAGAGAGGAAAATGTGAGGGATAATTGGATAATTTAGTAAAAAACTTAATTATGAATGAAGCTCTTGGGCCTATAGAATCATATCATAATCATTTGAGCTTTATCTACAAATATGTCCATTGTGAGGGCTCTAGGTGCAATTCTCCCAAGTAGAATTAATTATAGCTAGGTTTTGGATAAATTTTAGAAAAAACATAACTATCAATCCTTATAATTTTTTTTTTATATTTTATGTTCCTCTAGTTTTTTTTATATGCAATGTTAATACATATACTTTGAAATATTTCCAGAGGGACGAGATATCGTATTAACTATGTTAAATTATCTGACATTTAACTAGAGGTGTTAGTGGAGATGTTGGCATATGTTTAAATAAGAATGAGTTAACAATTAATTTGTGGAGAAGATTGTTTTGATGACAGCGTTTGTTAGTATGGAAAAGTGATTTTCAATTATTATGGGTTAAGCTTTTCACCTTTATAGGTCAAATGACCTTATCAATTTTTTTTAAACCAATTTAAATGGCAAGTGTTGCTTATGGTATTTCTATCATTTAGCCTTTGTCATTCCTTTTTCCACTTGCTAACTAAATTGTCATCCCATCGTTATTTTAATATTTAACACAACATTTAAAAACATTAATTGCACACTAGATAATTTAATTATAGAACTTAAAACATCAAAAAAAGTACATTAACTAATAAAAAAATGATAAAATTATGAGAATCAATAGTTGTGTTTTCTCTATTTTTTTAAAAATAACCTGTAAATATTACTTAAAATGGATGCAAATCCAATAATTTTAACTATAAATATAAATAAAATATTTAGATTATAAATGTAACAATCCGTTTGTAGTTATTTGAATTAATATCATAATTTATTTATTTTTTTAAAATTTTTCCAAGTTCTAACTGCTATAAATTTATTTTTTGAGACTTTATTGTCCTATGTTTATACCAAAAGAAATTATAGAAGTTTTATCCATTATTTATTATATAATAAATTCTTGTTAATAACATTAACAATATCTTGAAATTCATTTATTTTAATTTGATTAGTCAAAAGTATATAAAGTTAAATACATATCAAGTGTATGGATTATATTAACCAAATGTAATAAGACTTAAGTACACAAGACCAAGCAATGTATAAAATTAGAACAAGTGGATTTTAATATATTTTTAATATAATAATAAGAGTTTATTATATAATAAACAATGTATGAAAAATACATATGTCTTGATTGGATAAAAACAAGTGTCCAGTAAATAATATGTTAAAATTTATTCTTTTTTAATTTGATTGGATAAAAATATATTTAATATATAAGGTTTAGTATATGTATGTCTTTTATATTAAATAAATATTCATTTATTTCTATTTTCTAAGTGTTGAAAACATGTATGAGTCTAGAAAAGAAAAGATATGGTTATTTATACTTTGATTGTCATTATTATTATGTAATGATTTTAATATTGTTTGGTTTTAAACTAAATATATGTTTTAATTGCTGACACCAAAAATGAAGAAGGAAAGATGGTAAAAAAAAATATCTTGGTCAAATTTTATTTTTAATGATCAATGTTTCCAAATTTAATGGTGAGGTGACACTGGTAAAAAAAAAAAAAAGATACTAGGTGCATGTTTCCAAAAAGTTTTAAGACATTTTTATCATTTAAATTATGAGTTTAAAAATGTTTAGGACCTGAACTCATTTTTTGCACAATTTTCTTTCTTAACTTTTAAAAATGATACTATTTAACTTTATCATTAATAAAAGTTAATTTTAATCTTTAATTGAAAATAAAATAACATAAAAGAATCTCAAAAATTATAAAAAATGAGTAATAAAATTTTCTTGATCATTTTTTATAATTTTTATGATCATTGTTTATAATTTTTGACTCATCTACTATACTTTTTTGGTTTTTTCTATTATTTTTTGATTAACTAACATTTAAAATTAATTTTTGCTAATCATAAGAGTTAAATTATATTATTTTTAAAAATAAAAAAATATTAAACAAATAATCAATTTAGAGTTTCTGACACTCTAAGATAACCTATTATCAATTTGAACTATTATTTTTTTAAAGAAAATCAAAATTTTTAACTCGAATGACTTATTAATTTAATTTACGTGATTTTTTTTCTTAAAAAAAAATTTAACTACTTCAAACTCTGATGAAATTATGGAGGGTAAATTAATTTTCTGTTCACGGTAATTTTTTTTGTTTGTGAATTCTTTTTTATATTTTATAAAAAAATAATAATAATAATTTTTAAATTATGTAGATGATAATTTAATTTTTAAAAATATCATTGATGAAATTTTTAAATTTTTATTTGTCAATAACTTAAAAAAAATATTTTATTTTTATTGATAAATTATAATTTTTTATTTAATTTTTATTGTTCTTTAAAAAAATTATAATTATTTAAATAAAAATTATAAATATAATTTATTACTTTAAAAATTTATTTTTTTTAAAATAATATAAATTAAATTTAATAAATTATAATTTTTTATTTGATTTTTATAATTTATAAAATAAAAAATATTATTTTTTTTAAAAAAATTACGATTCAAACTTGTTTCTTTATACTAAAAATCATATTTAATAAATTATAATATTTTATTTAACTTTTATAATTTATAAAATAAAAGTTATCATCCTTCAGGTAAAAAATTATAATTGAATCTTATTATTTTTTAGTAAAGATAAAACATTTTTTTTTAATTACTGATAAAGACGTCTTTAAATATCTCATTAAGATTATATTTTTTTTATAAATTCAATTATTACTATGAAATTTTATTATATATTTTATCGTGGGCAGTAAATTGATTGATTGATGTGATGACTCCTGAAAGGACGTGGGTGTCCGCGCTGAAGCCGTCCGCACTGGATTACTCCTGAAATTCAAACCCAGTGGATTCATTTCAGAACCGCGGTTTCTTCCCTCGCTCTCTCTCCCTCACAGTTTATGAACCAATAAGCACTCAGGAACTCACTGTCACCTAGCTAATTTCTGTTCATCGTCAATCTCGCCATCTCAAGCTTGGGTACTGCGTTCATCAATGGCGCCCGCTACTCAACTCCCTTGCGATTGTGACGGTGTCTGTATGATCTGCAAGAAGAAGCCTGCGGAGGAAGAAAAGTTGACATGCAAAACCTGTGCTTCCCAATGGCATGTCGCCTGTCTTTCTCATCCTCCCGCAACCATGGGGGAGACGCTTCAGTGGGAATGCCCCGATTGCTCAACTCCACCCTCCGATTGTCCTCTGGTGACTATTGGCAAAGCCGTAGTCGACGGGACCGGTGACTTGGTGGCCGCGATTCGAGCGATTGAGGCCGATGCTTCCCTTACGGAACTTGAGAAGGCTAAGAAACGTCAGCAACTCTTGAGCGGAAAGGCTGGGTCGGAGGAAGACGAAGGTGGCGTGAAGAAGAAGGTAGAAGGTGAAGGGAAGGACGTGTTGGATATTCTTAGTGGAACTCTGAACTGCTCCTTCTGTATGCAGTTACCCGAGAGGCCGGTTACGGTAAATCTGACTTAACTCTGATACTAAATGAGCAGCAACTGTATCTGTTTTCATTAATAGTTGCAGAGATCCAGATTTTTCTGCATTGTCTTTCGTGTTCCCAGGTTACTTCGTTAAAATTGCTGTTGTCAATTGTTAACTCTTTTTATTTGACGATTCTTTTTTGTTCCATTTGACTGGAGCTAAAAATCTTATCTTTGGGTGTTCCAAAAAAATAAAATAAAATTATCTTTGCGTTGTGCGGGGAATTTTCTTTGTTCTCTTGATTTGAACGATTTGATTGTGGATGTACTATGAGCATTCAAATTTATAATTACCCTTGAATCCATTCCCTTTTTACCTCATACTTTCACGTTATTAGTTGATTTGCTGGGGCATCCATCTATTCAGTAGTTAGTTGGTTAAATGTTACTCGTTGCAGTTGAGATTTATTAAAAGATTTTAGTTCAACTGCTCAACTTCAAAAGGAGTTTTAGTTTTTTCCCCCTTTTTAAAATTGTCCCGTGACTTTCACGCTGCATCTCTTCTTGTCAGCAGGTTCTAATCTTTCAGCACATAGTCTACCTTTATCCGAGGATTTACTTATTTTGAGCCATTCTATTTCACGATTCCCCTCAACTACTGCACTGTTAGCGTAGACTTCTGTTGTATGCCTATTTGTCATTACATCAGTTTACTAGCGTTTGGGATTTCTGAGCAAAGAATACAAGTTTCTTAAGACTCTTGTGGCCAGCTTAGTTTCTTTGCATTCATTTACATTCTGCTATCTTGTATTGTACCATTCTAGAAACGAATAGTGGTAACCAGCATACTATAATAGTTCGATTAAACGAGGGATCTAATTTAGTGGCCTTATCCAGACTCCATGTGGCCACAATTTCTGCCTAAAATGCTTTCAGAAATGGATTGGACAAGGAAAACTAACATGTGCCAAGTGTCGTAGTGCCATACCTTCCAAAATGGCAAGTCAACCACGTATTAATTCTGCACTTGTCATTGCTATCCGTATGGCAAAGGTATCCAAAAACATTGGTTCAGGAGAAACCTCCAGAGTTTATCATTTTGTACATAACCAAGATAGACCAGACAAGGCTTATACTACAGAGCGGGCCCAAAGGAAAGGGAAATCAAATGCTTGCAGTGGAAAGATTTTTGTAACTGTGCCTCAGGATCATTTTGGTCCAATCCCAGCTGAGAATGATCCAGTGAGGAATCAAGGTGTGCTGGTTGGTGAATGTTGGGAAGATAGACTTGAATGCCGTCAATGGGGTGCTCACTTCCCTCATGTTAGTGGTATTGCTGGACAATCAAACCATGGGGCGCAATCAGTAGTTCTTTCTGGTGGCTATGTTGATGATGAGGATCACGGAGAGTATTTTCTTTATACTGGAAGGTTTGTAAAAGGATCTTAAATTGATATATTGTTTTTTGTTTGCTCTCCACATCTAAACTGTTTGCCCATACCCTATTTATTTATGCTGTCTTAACCTGAGTTTGAATGTTTTCACTATTTTTAGTTTTTGCTGATTGTTTGATGTTGTCTTTGCTAATGCATGCTAAGCTTTCATGTTCTTCCATTTAATTTTCTTATATTGCCGATTTGCTAACCTCTCCTTTGATTTTGGTCATCTCTGAATTGAGGTTATGTCCTCTTGCCTGGGGTCCCCCTTTTTCCTTTTCTTGTCCTTTTCTTTTCTATTTTATTTTGTTTTGTTTTTTAACCTATGATTCATCTTTCCTTGTTTCTATTGGATTCTTGTTGAAATAACTAACATGGCGCCTGTTGCAGTGGTGGTAGAGACTTAAGTGGAAACAAACGAACAAGCAACACACAATCATTTGATCAAAAGTTTGAGAAGTCCAATTTAGCTTTAAAAGTTAGCTGTTTAAAAGGTTATCCAGTTCGAGTTGTAAGGTAAGCACCTACGTTCAAAAAGATCAGTTCTTTGTTCATCTATCTTTGGAAGCTTATACTTGAGTTGGTGCTCCTGACCTGGTGTAAATTCTTTTGTTTAGTTGATCTGTTAGTACAATACAATATGAAGCGCTAAGTAGTTAGTTAAACAAACAAAACATGCAAGTGGGGGGTAGGTTAGCAGGAAAGTCAGTTCTAATGATGAATGAAGGTTAATTTTGCTTTCTCTTTATTTTTCTTTTATGACAATCTCAATATTGGTTGTTCTTGTTGATCTTTTCAACTTTTTAATCTAGTGAGATTTAGCAAATTGACCTTTTGAATGATGGATCATGCATTTTTATCCTCTACCTACTCTTTGTGATGTTAAATTTATTGTATGATTGACATGCTCAATTAGAGTGCGCTTAACCTTGAGAGTTTTAATGATACATTTTACTAAGCCTTAATCCATGCTTGCTAAGCTTTATGTGTAACATCTTAAATCTAAATGAGTAGATCTCACAAAGAGAAGCGTTCCTCATATGCCCCCGAACGAGGATTACGTTATGATGGTGTTTACAGAATCGAAAAGTGTTGGCGTAAACAGGGAATGCAGGTAGATATGATATTCCTTTATTCTTTTATTTTCTATGTTTTGGTCTTTGATTCATGCAACTTTTCTAAAGTCGTATGCTTAATTAGGGCTTCAAAGTTTGTCGGTACTTATTTGTTAGATGTGACAATGAACCAGCCCCATGGACAAGGTATGTATTATGTAGCTCACTGGAATGTGCTGATCCTATTTGAAATTCCTTCTACTAAATGATTCTAATTGTAACACAGTGATGATCATGGAGATCGTCCCCGACCATTGCCAGTAATTCCTGAGTTGCAAAATGCTACAGACTTAGTTGAAAGGAAGGCGAGTCCATCATGGGATTTTGATGTGAGTAATATTTCAGGATTTCACCTCTTAAAATATCTTATTCATTTTATTTCTAATTCAAAAATCTTCCTTCCTTTCTAAAATTGTTACTAAACGACACTATTTAGAATGCTTTATATCATATAATTAGAATTAGAGTTTTAAGAATATATAACGAATTTATGTTTTCCTTAGGAGGAAGGATCTTGTTGGAAGTGGAAAACACCACAACCTCCCAGTCAAAGGCATGTAAAAAGTATGGATCCCCAAGAAGTGAAAAGGTCAAGAAGAGAAATAAGGAAAGCCCAAAATCTTTCAGTCAGGGAAAGATTGCTGAAAGGTATTATAATCTTTATGCTTTGCTTTTATATTGGTCAACTTATTCTTTATCCAATTAAGTGGGTTATTTTCTGTGTCTGAAAGCATCAGTGATATCATTTAATATGGTCTTTTTTTTGCTTTGTTATGTTTCCATATGCAGGATTTGGTTGCCTCATCTGTAAAGAGGTTATGGGTACTCCTGTGACGACACCTTGTGCTCATAATTTCTGTAAGTCATGTTTGGAAGGTGCATTTGTGGGCCAGACTTTTGTGAGAGACAGAAGCAGGGGTGGAAGATCACTGCGGTTACAAAAGAATGTGATGAAATGCCCTGCTTGCCCAACTGACATTTCTGATTTTCTTCAGAACATTCAGGTGTGTCGTGCATAATTTGCTCTTTTACTTTTGTTTGGTTGATCTTTTTGATTATTTAACTAGGAAATTTCATAAGCTGATTGCTAAGTTCCTTGGTGGCATGCTTGTGTGACAGGTTAATACAGAGTTGTTGGGCTTAATTGAATCATTGAAAGCTGAGGCTGAAGAAAATGCAGAAGAAAGTGAGGATGAAGATGGAGCAGAGGCAGACTGTGATGGTACTGATGCTAAAATGGATGAAGACAAGGAAACTTCAAATGAGAAGCTTAATGATTCAGCTGAGGAAACTGATGCTTGCAAACTGCTGTCAAAAGGACTTGGTGCGACCAATCGAGTGGCCAAAGGTAATTGCAAAAGAAAGAGAGCTGATGCTGAAAAAGTTTCTCCCAAAATTGATAGAAGTAAAAAGGTTGAGGATGATGGAAATGATTCACCAGCAAGTCCTCTTCACTTGCCATCAGACGATTAATTATTACCAGTGGATTCAGATTTTGGTGGCTCTTTTATTTTGCTTACTGGTAACTGAAAAACTGTTGGTGAGTAGGTGTCCTGAAATCAACAACTGTATCTACATTGATGGCTTTGTTTGAGAGGAAGCTTTGTGCAATTGCTAGGGATGGGATCTACCCAACCCAATCTCGTTTTAATTTGTTGATATCATGTGTCATGATTGGGCCAAATATATTCCAAATTCTAAAGATTCCTATGTTGTTTTTGATGCCCCTTGGAGTCTGTTTTATGTTGTAGCCAAATAGGGGGATGATCATGATTCATTGTGATAGACTTATGCTTAATTCAACGGCCTGCAATGTTTAAGTTGTTGCATGTTTTAGTATATCCATTGTTTCAGGTTCATGTGCCTCGAAACAGTATGATTTTCCATTTCTGTTTATGATTTTGGTTTTTGTTTATTATTCTATTGCAAGATGGTGTTGAGGGCTTTTCTTGTCAACAGGGTGTCAATTTTTTGGTCTTCTACAAATCCCTCTCCTTTGCTGAATAAAGATTAAAAAAAAATTATGGTTGCGGCTTATATTTCCAATGATTTTCATCATATATATGGACTACAATTCGTGGGCTACTGATTAATCTAGATTTAATAAGTATTAGATCTTGTAGGGATTTTTTTTTTGTTTTTTTGTTTTTTGTTTTTACCCGTGTATTCACCGTCCACTCCAGTGGATTCTTCCCTTAGTTTTAGTAAAGGTGGGGAAGCTGTTGCTACGCCGAAATTTTGTTAGACATGTGAAATGAATATAAGTTTTTTGCACATATATTAAAATTGGCATTAGTAACAAAAATTTTCATTACTTAAAACAGATAATTATGTATGCTTGTGTATGAAATAGTAATTTAGTTAGGAACGCGTTTGGTGCTGATCAAGGGGAAATTAATTTAGATCTTTCATTTTGATTCAAAATGATTTGAGCCATTCATTTTAAGTTAATTTTTACATATTTTCAATACTGCATTTTCTAAAATTAAAAGTCATAAAAATTTAAATATTAAACATGGACTGTCCAAAGTAAATATAGATAATTAATTTATAAAAATTATAAAATTTTTTACAATTAAAGTTGACTGTCCATATTATATCTATATTATTTAAAGTACATTTAGAAGTTAATTTATAAAAATTATAAAATAATTAATATTAAATTTCATTGTCCAAATTAACTATGCATTGATCTAATTGGTGATATTTATTAAATTTTATATAATTTTAATAAATGTTTATTTTAATAAATATAAAATGAAAATAAAAAATCTTTAAATCTAAATGATCTAGATGTCATCAGGTATGATGAGCTGGACAAAGACAATTTAGATTTAATATCAAATATTTTTATAATTTTTATTTTAGTAAATATAATTTTGAAAATACCTAAAAATTTATTTAAAATGAATGGCAAGGATCATTTTAAATAAAAAATGAAAAGCCCAAATTAATTTGCCCCTGATGAATGATGAATGCTTGATGCTCATTAAGGTGATGGGCACTGAATGTGAAATCTAATATAATTCAGAGGTTTATTAATTGTCCCTAATATCTTGGGAGAAATTTTGCTATCATTAATTAACTTTGCAGGTATCAAGAAAAAGAATTAAAGTAGGTTAGCTAATTAAATTTGTAAAAAAGAAAAAAAGGGGTAAAACAGCATATTAATCACTAAACTATAAGATTAAAAAAGTCTGAGATTTTAAATTTATTTTTGATATAATATTTTCTTTTAATTTTTAAAAATTGTGTAACATAACTTTTATTATTAATTAAAAAATTAATTTTAATCGTTAATTAAATAAAAAATGATAAAAGAAAACTTCAAAAATTACAAAAAAGAGTCAAAAGATAAAAGTAATCCAATCTAATTAAGGGAAAATAATATTTAAGGATTACCTAAGCAAATTATTTGCAGATAAAAACTAACAAAAAATATCATTAAAAAAAATAATGTTTTCATTTTAATAAGAATCCATTCGGTATTAATCATTGTTTATAAATAATTTACATAAGTGGTTTTAAGATGTGATTCTCCTTCTAATCAAAGTCTCAATTTCTACAGACATGCATTGCCGTATGCACTCTATAATCTGCTGGCCACCTTAAATATTCGATTCCTGCTACTGATATTACGCTAAACAGCAGAGACCACCATGGAAGTTGCAGAGTCAAGGATATCAAAGGGAGAACTCCAAACAGGGAAGCAAAAGTGCAAAACCAGCTGGAAACATGGGCCTTGGTTCAGAAGCAAAGTGATATGTCACTGAATATCCCAGAGAAGCCATAGAAATCCAAGGATGAAGCTCAAATGGAGACGGACTCGATCGTCCCCGATGATGATCACGTAACTTTGTATCTGAAGGAAATTGAAGTGAAAATAGAGTTGGAAGAAGAAGAGGGTTCGTGGGAGGAATAATAATTGAGAATCTAAAAGTTCAGCTCCTCTTCTCTCTGCGAGTCCTCCGACTGGAAAAGAAGCGAAGGAAATGAGCAGTTATGAAGCGAAGGAAATGAGCAGTTATGATCATAGAACCATCGCAAGCATGACCTAGCTGGTGCTCGGCCGTTATCCAGCCAGCATTTGCATAGCAAACACGATTCCTGCTGAACTGGAACCCATGCACCGCCACTGCTAGCTGCTCAGACGCATCATTAGCTTCACCAAAACCCATTAACTAAAAGCTTACATAGATCGATATCGGTGCTTCTGTGAAAAAGCAAAACTGAAGAAAGCTCACATCCACAGGATCCACTGGCTAGTGTTTGATGATGTAAGCTTGGGGGTGAAGAAATGAAAGGAAGTGTCGAGAGTGAGATCTATAGACAAAGATGTATCTAATTGATAAGCTAAAGAGAAGGTTGGGGATGCAGAGATGAAGAAGGTGAGGAGAGGGATTTATAGGCTAAGCCAAGGAGTAAGAAGGACCACCTGATGAGTTGATGTTCGATGCACCATGGGAATCAAAGTCTTTGAATCTGCACTTAATTACCAAGGGATCGGAAATCAAAGGAACCACTTTGTCACTCATGTCTGAAAGTGAAAACTTGGTGAGCAAAATCCAATTGAAATTAACATCAAAAATCAAACTGACTTGAATCAAATTTTATTTATTTAATTTAATCTATTCAATTTTTCAATGCTTTGTTTTTTTTAAATGAAAATTTCAGTTGATTAGTTTGATTTGATTTGAAAATTCTTGAATTAAATAAACTAAACTAATCAAATTATACATATTTTTCTTTTCATATTTTTGAAAATGTAAATAAATTTTTATCTAGATAAGTAAAAAATATATTTCTACCACTTGTAGTCGTAATATTTTTTTTGTTTAATGTGATATTCTAATTTTTTTATTTTTATAATTTAATTTTTAATACAATAGCATTGAGTTTTGTTAATTGTTTTCATGAATTATGGTTATAAGATTGCTATTCTTTTGTTGGGCATCCAACATCAAGGGAAAAAATTAGATAGAAGAATATATGAATAATTAGGTTCTATAGACCCAAATCAAAGCTCATGAACCAGATCAATTGAATTGAACCATTATAATTTGATTCAGTTTTAATTTGGTTTGATTATGTATTTCAATTTAATTTAATCCAAATTTTTTATATAAATTGATTGATCGGTTTTAAAGAAATTTGAACCGAATTGACCCAACTAACTGAATGCTCACCGCTATTTCTCACATCATATGGTATACCCCTATTATATATATATATATATATATGTTCCAATTTTCAAATGCTAAACAGTAAACATATTTTTTTAAAAAAATTCTATTAATTTATCTATGTGAAAATAGAAATACTGAAAAAAGGAGCAAGATGTTTAGCTTTCACCAAGAACCGCAAGGTCATCCTCCTCCTTCTAGAATAGAGAATATAAGGATGGCTTGATGGTCGACTATTTAAACTTGTTTTTATAAAAAATTCAAGCTTTAAAAATTAATATTTTTTAATATAATCAAGCTTCTAAGCTTGGGTCTATTAAACTATATAAAAACATATTTAGGTAGCCCATTAGGCTTTTTTTTACTTTTTCCCTAAAAATAAAATATTTTAAATTAAATTTTGACTTTAGAATACATGTTTATATTTAAAAATTAGAATTTGTATTATATATTTTAATTTTTTTAATATTATAATTTATATTTCAAAAAAGAATATATGATATTATTATGTAAAAATTAATTTTTAAAAAATAAAAAAAATAAAAAATATGGGCCCAACCTGACGTTTGATCAATAAAAGCCAGGTTTGAAAAAGTAATTGATTTTATGATAACTAGTCATTTGGACCTGAATCTGCTTGATTATTAGTTCTACTTGACTACCTCCTTCACCATATTTCTCTTTGTTTGGGTTTTTTTTTTTTTAATCCTTCACAAGGTTAGGCACTTGGGCCTTCATATGCAAAGGAAGCCCCATCTCTTCAAAAAGACAGTAGTACCATTTAAAGGATTATCTACTTTTAAATGATGTTATATATATATATATATATATTTAAGAATTAAATACTGAAATGATATTTAAAGACTCGAGCTGCTATCATTCGTGTTACACCTACTTGGTATGAAATATCATAAATGTTATTGGGAGATATACCCCCAACAAGGCCCAACAACATTTGAATTTGATTCAATTAAGTAGCTATATAAAAAAAATATTCATAGGACAAGATATATTGAAGCTATCATTTATTATTATTACTATTTGTCTATAATATGTGAAAATTTTTATTTTTATTGTTATTATAATTATATAATTCATGAATAAAATTTCAATTTTTTTCTTAAAATTTACCCAACAATAAGTTTTGGAATGAAGACAATAACCTTACCGGGTATCTCTACAGCTTTCTTTTCCATTAATAATAATGTTTACTCTGCTGAGCTATATCGCTATTTATGTCAACTTATCAAAATTAGAAAATGAGTGGGACGTCAATCACTTCTTGTTTCATGACTAAGATCCAAACTTCATTCTTGAGATTAGTCCCCACACAACTCTATGAGGAACGCAACGTACTGAATGATAGTAGTGGTCCTTATCTCACTGAATGTTGAGGCCTTCTCATTTAAGGGAAAAAAAACTCGAGAAAACAATATAGATACTTCCGGCAAGATGCCTCTCGGGCAAAATGACAATATGGTCCTATTTAAACCGTATAATAACATTTTAAGTGTCATGAAATTTTGAAATGATGCAATGAAACCTTCATTTTTTATTTCCATATATGAAGAGTAATCATTTTATAATGAAATTAATTTTAAATTACATTTCTTATTTAAAATCAATATTTTCTTTATTCCTAGTTAAAATATAAATATAAAATATTTTTTTCATATTATTTTTTTAAGAAAAGAAATTGCTTTCAATTTTCCATTTTATTTATAGGCTTCAACTCCTTCTAATTTTACTTAATTTTCAATTGAGTTTCTATAATTTATTTTATTTTGAACAAGTCCTTATAGTTTAATCAACTAAATATATTAGTTCTTGAAAATTAAAATTCTTGATTTTTTTTATTTTTTTACAAATGAAATTAATAATTTTTATATTTTTATTAAAAGACTACATAATTTTTATAGCTCAAAATTTATATAATTAGGTCATATTATTTAAATAACTTTTATAATACAGACTTTTTGTAAAAAATTAATAAAAAATGTAAATATTGTATTAAATCCGTTTTTCTTTTCACTTTTTGCTTAAAAGTATTAAACCACTTTTTCTATAAATTTTAAAACTATTTTTGTTTTGAAAGAGTTAATAATTCATTAATAATTTTTATTTCTTGGGACTAATATATTTAATCAGTCAAATTATAAGGGTTTGATTAAAATAAAATAAATTATACTAAAAAATTCTTGGGTCAACTATCAAGTGAGTTGAATTAACTTATCTTGGGATCTCGAATCTGAGTCTTTTAAAATATGCAATAGGCCAATCACATTAAATAAATATACTAAAAGCATTATTGAAGTACTTGTGAGAATGTTGGTGGTAATTACAGACTCACGCAACGGGGGTTCAGATTATTCTAGGTGAAGGTTTCCTAGGATATTGAATTATGAAATTTACAAAATAAATAAATCATAGGCACTTAATTCAAAATCAGTGAAAATTAGAAGAATCTACAAATTAATTTTTCTTTATTTATAAAAGGTCATGCCTGTAATGAGAAAGTTCTTATTATATATATATTTTTTAAAATTATGAAAATATGATATTAAAATTAATAATAAGTATTATTTCATTTATTTATAAATCAGGGTTGTGTTTAAAAATTTTGAGACTCTCTAGATGAAATTTTTAAACGGCCCTAAGGTACTAACTAATCAATTTTTATATTATTTTTATAATTTTTTGAACTGAAAAATTATTTATCAAATTTTTACAATGAAGTAATGATTCTAACAGTTTGATTTTCACTTTGACATTTTTTTACAATATTGTTTATAAGGACCGTATGTGCTTGGGAGAAAATTAAAAAAAATATAATTTTTAATATTAGAACAATTTGGAATATTAAACTTCTCCCAATACCTATACTTCTAAAAATAAAAAATTTATCCATACAATTTTTTTCAATTAGTTTTCATCCAAAGTTTAAAATTTTATGGACTCAAGTAAAAAACTGAAGATAATTTTTTAGTCCAAAACAGGACAGCTCGGACTATGGCTCATTTTTTTAAAATTAAAAAAATAATTTGTATATAGTTTATAGATTTTATAAAAATAATTTATTTTATAAATATTTTAAAAAAAATAAAAAATATTTAGTGTTCGGTTACCATCATAAAAACTCATTTTTCATTTAGAAAGTAATTTTTAACTTGTTTGAATAAAGCAATGTAAAAGTTTTTTTTCCGTTAAATTACAATGGACATATAAAAGTTCTTTTTTAGAAAAATTAATTGAAAACTGAAAATCTTGGAGATAAAAAAAAAACATTTAGCTCAATATCCTAGACATTTTATATTTAGTGAATATTGCTTGTTTAGAAAAGAAAAGAATCAAAGAAAAGGCTTATGGGATAGACTGATAGCTAATTTTATGCACATTTCCAGCTTTTAAATTCGAGCCCAAAAACCTTTGTTTTTTTTCAGTTTCCTTGTTTTTTTTTAATAGAAGTTTCTTTCTTTTGATAAAGAAGGGTTTAAAGTCTCAACTTTTACCTAAATCATAAACCAATTCAGAAACTCATTATTGACGATGATGTGTAGCTTATATCTAATTAAAAATATTTATTTCATTTTTAAAACTTGCAAAGCAAACAAAAAAAAAAGATACATGTATTTAAGATTCTTTCTGTCAATGTAATTTGTACTCAATAGATCACTAAATTTTCAAATTTAAACTCAATATATTGTTAAAATATGTCTAAAAAATGCTGAACTCAAAGTGCGTGTCGGGTAAATTTATAGAGCAGTAGCATATACTATAAATATACACTGTTATGACAAATAAAACAAGAAAGGCCGTTTCATGGAAAGAACGGATTATTAAGTTAATTGGACCACGTCTTTGGTTCCTTGAGTATTAATCAATAGACAAATTATCATAATAATATCCCCTTTCTTCTTCCATTTATTCCACGGAAATGTACACTTTGATTACAATTTCCGAAGATAAGAAACTGTCTTATTCCAAATAAAACAAAAGAAAAGCAGAAACAAGAGTAGTGATGCTGTTGGTTTTGCCAATGTTGATTCGTTTGTTGCTGAATCAAAGTCCCAACCTTGGGTTGCTTCAATCATCAATAGCAGTAGCCAAACATAAGTAATACGATGATACATAGATTAAAACGATCCCATCACCTTGTTCCATCCTCAGGCAAAGTAGTAATAAATGAAAGCACATGATTATGAGGCATTTGAGCTGCTTCAATTACCGTAAGCAATGTTTTCATATATGCTTGCGGCAAACAGGTTCAATTGCACCGCTCAAAAATAACGATGACAGTGAAGACGATCTCACCTCAAGGGCGATGGACTCAAGTCCAGTTTGATAACGCAACCATTTTAATTGGAGCATTCTAATGTCCACGTTATCAAAACTACCCTGCGTGACCTTTTATCATTAAAATTAGTAACATGTCAGCAGCGTATATAGCGATTCATTCAGCAGCAAAGAAAACTGAAGCAAGCATGTCTGGTGGGTTACCTTCATTAGGATCATAGATCCTTCGCGCCAAGAAATTTAGGATCATAGAACCTTTGCGTCAAGAAAATTAGTCGAGCACACAGTCCAGACCTGAGCAATCACCTACACATGTGAAGCGAATACAGATTGTTTGAGTCACCATGAAACATGCACATCATGAGGAGGCTGGGCAGAGAAACAAGAAGTGAGAAAACAAGAAAGAAAGAAGAAAAGGAACAGAGTCTCGACCTGGTGGTGGTTGGCCATTATTGCAGCTAGCATTTGCAAATAGGAAATTAAACAGGCTTGCTTGCAGCTTGCAGGCAAAGCGCCATTATTCCAGCTAGCTAGATCAGAAGGAGAAGGAGAGAAAGGAGTAAGCAAGGAGTTGCAGCTTTGCAGAAATGAAAAGACTTGCTTGGCCGGAAGGCCGGAGAGGAAGGAGGTCCTGCGGGGGAGAGAAAAAAGATCGAAGAGGGTTTGAAGGGTTTGAGTGCAACAGAGAAATAGAAAGAGGAAGAAACGGAAGGCTGAGAAGGAGAGAAGAGAGAAGGATGGGTATGCAGAAATGGAGAAGCTGATAAGAGGGATTTATAGGCGAAGGCGAAGCCAAGGAGCGACTATGGAGAACCACTTGATGTTCAAAGCGTTTATGCAAGTTAATGAAGGCGCCCATTAATTTTAACTCAAATTCTTTTGGCTAAAATCATTATTATATTTTATTGATATGTACGATCTTTTTCAACCTCGTCTTATATTGTGATACAAACAGAGTATTTTTTATTCAAAATCAATATTGCCGATCTTATAAAAGTGTTTTTTTTTTTAAAAAAAATTCATATATTAACAAAGTTTGTTACACATCGTTTGCAATTTTAATTTTTCTAAAAACTTTTAAAAATACCTTTTTTGATAAAATTAAAAGATGCCTTTTATAAATAGGATATGGGAAAATAAGGTTTGGATTAATGAAAAATAATATTGGTATAAGCATACCATTAATAAAAAAATTTTTAAAAGAATATTTTATATTTTTTTAACATCAAATCATTTTTAAAAATATTTCTTCCACTCCAAATTATAAGACACCTTTATGAGAGATTTGCTATTTCAAAATATAAGACACTTTGAGAAGATTAAATTTATATTAAATAGGCTTATTTTTAATATTATCCTCTCTTTCTATTTAAGTATTATCCTTATCTCTTTTTAATATATTAAATGAAGGGTATTCCTATAAAATTTTTTATTTTTATTTTGAAAAAAAAAAGTTGTTAAATGTATTTAAATATGTTTCATTGATATATGATATTTGTTTAAAAATATCTTATAATTTGAGATAAAAAAAGTATCTTATAAAATATAAAGAAAGTACTCTCTCCGTCTCAAATTATAAGGCACTTTTAAAAAAAATCTTACATATTAATAAATCTCATTAAATACACTTAATAACATTATGTTTTCAAAATAAAAATATAAAATTTCAAAAATATTTATAATTTAATATATTAAAAAGAGACATCACAAAAATTAATTACAGAGAGAGAAAGGGTAGTATTAAAATAAGCTTATTTAATGAAATATTGATCTTCTCACAGTATTGTATATTTTGGGATGTTAAATTTTCCTAAAAAATATCTTATAATTTGCAATGTAGGAAGTATTAGCCAATACCAAGATCTAGATAGGAGCATTCACTAATAATAACACAATCAAAGGCTATTAATGAGCACTTTTGAGCATATCTTTAGAGATACAAACAATTGTATTGATTAGCTGGCTCACCATGTCAATGCCAATAATAAAAAAGTTCAAATTTTTGATATCTCACTAATTGTTTGTGGCAATCTTTTATATGTTGATATGATTTTAACTATCTTTTTGCACAGTTTTTAACTACTTATCTGATCCTATTTATAAATCACTTTTAACATATTTTATCAGTATCAAAGAAAACTATAAAACTTATTAACTCTATTTTAAAATTTAATAAGTTTTCAACTTTATCCATATTAAATATACATACTTTAATAGTATATTTTCTCTCTCTAACATTCAATGGAGGGTAAAAAAAAATTATGATAAAAATTTAATAATTAGACTTATAGAATTGAAAAAAATTATCTTTCTCTGTCCTATAAATAAAATTTGAGAGAATATGACCTTGTATTTGGGGGGGGACTATTAATGAGGGCACCCAATCACCAAGCTAGGCTCTCGTCCTCTGCCAATCAACCCTACTACTTTCATTGATTGTATATTACTTACTTTATTTAAAAATATAAAATATTTTTTAAAAAGTTAAATATTATATAATATATTTTTAGTCTTTTGAAATGTAATCGTGACTTTTTTTTAAAAATACCTCTATTGATAATGACTTTATAGTTATTACAAAATCTTTAATAAAAATAAATATAAAAATATAGGGTTAGTTGAAAAGTAGGTAACTACTTTATTGAGGAGTGAGATTTAATTAAAAATATCTTATATTTTTGAACGATGTTTTTTCATTTTATTCTCAAACAATAAATCTAGCAACACATGACATCCTAAGTTTTTTTAAATGTAATTTTGCAACCTCAATATTTAAAAATATCGCTCTTATTTTTTTTAAAAAAAAAGGAATCTCAATGTGTCACTTTCTATTAATTACAAGGCAGCTTCTTTTATCCAATTAAGAAAATAGGAAAGCAAGGTTATCAGTGTCTCATATGACCCATTTGCCTTTTACTCTTGACTTGATATCACAACTGAAATATATATGCTTGAGAAAATTACACACAAATTCTTCAGAACAAAAATAAATTAAATACCACAAAATTTATTCTCAATCAAACATAGCGAAAAAATAATTGTTTTAGTCATTATTTTACTATATTTTTTTTGGGTGGATAATCTCTAGTATTTGTTTGTGTTTTTGTGAACTTCTATCAAGTGAATCACTTTACGCGGTGATCACTGTGAGACATCAGTGACAGAGTGACAGTGTGGTCCCGCGTGAGGATAATATAAGCATTGGTGTTCCAGTTGTACCCATCTTAATGATATTGAAACGGGTTTTTCTTAGTTTAAAAAAAATCAAGATGAGACGTTTGTGGGACCGGATAAAAAAGGATCCAAGGAACAATGCTCTGGATTTTCTTTGGTGCATCTTGTCCCATCCAATATTATATATATGTGCGTGCTCCTTTTATTTTATATATATATATATATATATATATTAATTATTATGTTATTTTCATTGTTTATTTATTTATATTTTTTATTTATTTTTTATTTTATTTAATTTTACATTGTTCTGTGATATTTGGTCTGGTCAAGAAAGTTGCAAAATATTTTTTTCATAATACTTGATATTAATTTAAAGAATTAAAAAATGCAAACTCAAATTGTTGTAATTCAAGTAATCTAATAAATTTAATTTTTGAGTCTATGTTTGATTATTGTTGCTGAAATAGGCTCTGACCAAATAGCATGTACATGCATAGAGGCTCTAGGATTTAGGTGACTCATGTCCTTATCTCTATTTATTTATGTATTCAAACGCAATCGATTAATTATATATATATAAATATAATTTTTTATACATGTTAATTGAATATTACTAGTCATTTAAAAATACAAGTAAAGGTAGTTAAAGTAAGTAATGGTGATTATTAGAATGTCCTAGTCCTGTATCAGCTTTTACCCAAATGGGAAGGGATGCAAAACAAAATTTAAGTCTCGATCATTTTTTAAGATAGAATATAAGATAGAAGTATCTCGATCCTGTTACATGTACACTCCTAAATGTAGGGAGATAACATAGCATAATGTTTGAACATGTATGGGGATATCTTTTATGATATCCAGCCACGTTCTATGTTAGCAAATTAGTACAATGAGGAGAGATTATATTTAGAATGTTCTGATTTAAATTTTTTATTGTATATTTATTAAATTATAAATTATAAAAAAATTAATAAATGTTATTTATTATCAATTTAGATTTAATTTATAGGATTCAAGTTTGATATTATTTTTTTTATAAATTTAATACTTAGATTTACTTTGAATGATTTAAATTTAAATTTTTTAACTTGTAATTTTTCTAAAAAAAAATTAAAAAGTACCAATTAGGAGTTTATCCTTATTTCTAATATTGTATATACCAAAATAAAAATTATAAAAAATTAATATTAAATATGTACTATCTAAAATAAATTTACATATTAAGAATTATAAAAATTATGAAAATATTTAATATTAAACTGATCTGTCTCCAAGCATTAGATTGGTAATAATAGATTCATTAAAAAAAATTTTATATAAATTAAATAAATTTAAATTTAGACCGTCTAAATTGATTAAAATATAATATGTATGATTTAGATTTGGTCAGCTCTAATGAATACCATCAAGGGTGATGATGATGTTAAAAATGTTAAATAATAATTTTTTACCAATAAATTTTATTAATTACAATTTATAATATTTATTTTTATATATTTTTTTAAATACTTTCATTACTAAAAAAGAGAGGGAAATAAATTTATTTAAGAGTGAAACAATAAGATGTAATATTTGAACTAATTATTATTAATAAAATTTTATTTTTATTAAAATATCTTATATTTTAGATACCAAATTACCTAAAAATATCTTATAAATTATGATATTGGAGTATTAAATTAAATATGCTCGTTCTATTTATAATTTATCTTTAATATTTTTATTAAAATTAGAAAATTTTAAATTTTATTTAAAAATTTAATGTATTTTAATTTTATTACTATTATATATATATATTTTAAAAATTAAATATTTTAACATTTAATAACAGTTTTCCTTTCGATAAGAATAAGAGAATAAAAATATGTATAAGAACCATTGATTTGTCCTGTACAAATGGCCAAAATAAATATAACTAACTTCTTTTATGGAGAAAAAAAAGGGTGATTTCCAACGTCAGAAATTTAGGATAAAGATAAAGTCCCCCCGTTCCGTCACAGCCCCACACACGCACACACACTCTCTCTCTATACATATACCTGATAATTTAAAAATCAAATCGAATCAGATAATTGGATCGTCGATCAAAACTGTTAATAATTCGAGTTGAATCAAAACATTACTTTCATGATTGAGTTGTATCGAATTGGAGGTGAGTGACTATTGATTCAAAAATTAAAATTAAACTTAAAATCAAAGTAATTTTTAGAAAGCCAGATAATTTTAAATATAACATTAAAAAAACTTAAAATTTTTAAAAATTAAAAAATTAATTCTTATTAAAAGCTAACTTTATTTTCAAACAATTCATATATATAAAATATAATTTAAAATAATTTTTATAAAAATATTAACAATTATAGATATAAATACAGATATTTTTAAATTTACTCATATATAATGTAACTAAAATTTACTTATATTTAATAAGTTATAAAATAATAATTTATAATATTATTAATTTACAGTTATGTTATGCCATTTTATTAATATATTATAAATTTTTTTATATTATTATATATATATATATATATTAAATATTATTTTTATTTAATTATTATATTATTACATGAATCCAATCAAACATGAATCACTGGCCTTTCGTATTTCAATACTTGGAGGGGTTCGCAACA